AGCTCAATGCGATGCCTGGTCAAACAGCCTCTTCAACAACACCCATCTCGCTGCCCATTGATGGAAGCTAATATGCAGATGTCTCAGTTCAGTTATTTTATAAGGAAGTCCAGCTTAAAACGAAATTTCTTTTGTTCACTTTAGCCAAACTGCTGTTTTGTTAGTTTTACGAGTCCCAAAATATTTATACTCACAACATACTCGCCTTTTTTAATGCACTTGCTCTAAATGTTCAACTAGTCGGTTCGGTACAACGGCTTTTACATTTTTAAAGGACTTAATCTTTAATTGAACATAAATTGAAGATTGAATACTAGATAAATGTTGTTTTCCTATTTAGAGCAATTTTCACCGGAAGCATTACAGTCCAAAGAAGAGTCGTACAAAAGAAGTAATTGCAAAGGTATGGATTCTTATTTCCCCATGACCTGATGAACTGACGGCTAGCTCAGACTGAATTTATTGCTTCTTACGCGTATTAACTAATACTAGAGGTCGTCCAGTGGTCGAAAACTCGACCAAAAATATGTAATATACACGCATTGACTATTGAATACTGAAGTAGAGATATAATCTATATGGACCAGCTATTGACATTTTTTTATTAAAAAAAAAACATGTAGTCATGTGTGTGTGAGCCAGCCCCATAATGCGTATCTGTATATCTCTAGCCCTGATGCCTGTCTACAATTATTTTCTACCTTTTTTGTTGCTGACAAAGTTGATGGGTCATAACAGTTGCTATAGCTCATAATAAGTCATTCCATAACTTTGACTTGGTAAAAACATCGTGTATTCAACAGAAATTTGCCATTTAGATAAGCGCAATCTGTTGGTGGCTCACATTAACTACGACGAATTTAATTTAAAAACTGGCTTCAACTTTAACATGGTGATGGAATGTCTAGTTGTAAGACAAAGCATTGACTATTGGTCAATAATTACCAATATTATATTGATAGTCAAAGGTCAAATGTACAGGCAAGGCAACACTGTGTTGCCTTGGTACAGGCTTCTCTATTTTCACCCCACGCTGTAAATAAAACATTTGATTGTAATTTATTCCATTGGTTTTGATTTTATCTTTATATTACGACTAGCTGTAACCCACGGGCTTTGCCCCGTTTAACTTCTTAATTTTCAAGATTATCTCGTTCGCATGGCTCAATCACCATGGGTTGAAGTTTGTTCGCTACGCTCACTCACCTTTAGGTTGGAGCTCGTTCGCTGCGCTCAATTGCTTTCAGGTTAACTCGTTCGCTACGCTAACTCGCCTCCAGGTTGAAGTTCGTTCGCTACGCTCACTCACCTTTTGGTTGCAAATTAGCTGTTGTCATAAATGTAAAAGAAATAATAGTGCTGCACCCTGTTGGTAATCCTTGTAACTTTAATGCTATTGAACATCATAGAACAGAACCAACTTGTTTAATTGAAACAGCTGTTAAAAGATTCAATAATTCCATTTCTCATAAGGTTAACATGGGAAACTCCAGAGCCACTGGGGCGGAGCCCGAAAGGATTTTTGAAATAAGAATATGCCTATATGTTAATCGGGAATGTGAGCTATCATCATGCCAAATTTCAGCCCAATCCGACCAGTATTTTTCGCGTTCACTTGTCACAAACATACATCCATACATCCAAACTTTCTCATTTATAATATTAGTAGGATGTTATTTCGTCACCAGCATGACAACCTATAAAGCCCATGTTATTTTTTTTCGAATTCATTTTTTTGTACTTATATTTGACCCTATTTTAATTTTTAAAGGGATTCTGCACATCTACAGGAAAATATCTTTCTAACAGTATCCGTAGATTTTTCCTGTGATGCACACGAGCTGAGAAAAAAGGTTTTAAAGAAACATGCTTGCCTATTAATATATAGATGGCATTTGTATTCTTTATTTTTCTTCTCGTTCTTTTGCTGAAATAATTACCAGCGTCGTCAAACTTCTATCAACAATGAATGTTCTTTCCTGAAAGCTTTATACTAGTCTAAACATTGAGCTTACTAAACGTTGTCCAAAACCGGAGACTTTTAGAAGGCGAGGTGAGCTCCTTGACTCCGTTACTCCTATTTTAACTATTTCATCCTCAAAGGGTTCAGATTCTACAACTGACGGCTGTTTTAACTAGTGAAAATATCTTTAGCTGCAGCCAAAATCAGTTGTCATCATAACAGCATAGCGTAAGTACATAATTTAAATTTGAAATCCGACTAACTTCAATAATTTAAAAATAAATTCTCTCTTCTAAATGATTACAATATTTCTTGACCACTCTCATGAAGATTTTCAAAACCCCCAAAATAGAAATTACAGGGTGAGTAGAGCACGGAGCATGTAGTCATGGAGAATTCGTTACTTATTTTAACCAATTAAATTTCATAGGGTTGAAATTCTACGACCGACGGCTGTTTTGGCTCGTTACATGTAAACACCTATTTGCCTGCGGCTGAAACCAGTTGTTCTAATGTCGACATAGCAGAGCAGAGCAGAGCGGCTAGAGTCTCACAGGCTACATGGCAACATCTAGCTGGCGAGCCTACGTGCAGGCAATTACCAGCCGCCGGAGGAGCTACATATCAAAATGGCGGCGGTCGCGGCGAGCTGACCAGGTGTGCGGACCACAGAGACTGGTGTGTGACGCATTCAGAACCAAGTTTGTAAAACTCCACTATATGCTACATTTGTATAGCGCACACAACGAGTTTATGCACCAAACGTAGTACATTGATTTTAAACGTATTTAAGTTACTGTAGTTTTAACACGTTTGATTAGATTATATAATTTTTAGGGTCTCATAATTTCGTTGCATAATAACTCCGTAGCACAATTCCGTTCTTTTAGATCGACTTTTTTGGTACTTTGTGCCGGAATTCAAACCCAAGCGCCTAAATAAGCTTTTCATCTCTTTATTCACTTTGTATATGTACGAAATTAGTATATATCCGTACAGTTGAGCTTTACGAAAATAGTCGTTATCTATCTTATCAAATCCAAACACATACAGTACTTTTTACTGTCCTAAACATTCGTAGGTTTCCTACCCAAAGAAACTTTTGCCTGTTTTAATAAACACTTTTTCCCTTTCCCCAAACAGGTACAAAACAGCGTTGAAGAACGGAGTCAATTGTACAACAATTTGCTACCACTGTAAAGGTGTTTCTTGCACTAATTCCACCAGAGGAAGATGATCCAAAAAATAAGCTATGACGCGCAATGTGACTTGGATGAGGTGTACAGTACAGAGGAGAAGGAAGTAAGACCTGCAATTCTAGATTCTCCACAAAAGAGACAAAAAAATCTGATGAGTTATTTTTAAGTTTGTATTAATTACTTTGCAAAAACTGATGTACTTGGTCACTTGGAATCGATTTTCTAGAAGTAATATAAATGTGAAATAATATGCAATGTTTTTTGACTTTGTTTAAATTACTATAAATAGCTCGATTTTCATCAGTAGATAGTCAATCAATGCGAAATTTTGTGCTCTACAATTATATTACGATGCGTTTTTCATTAGGATGGATAGCTTTTTGAAGTTTTGGCAAAAACAAAAAACTAAATTTAAAGGGTTTTGAGGTCCGAGGTAAAAAGCCCACCTGGAAAAATTGAAAAAATTGGAAAATGGAAAAAACACTTTAAATCCTTTTACTTCTATATAAAATAGACACGTCAAAAGAGTTTCCAGCTTTCCAGAAATTATTTCCAATCACGGCCAATTTCAAATCTAATTTTACTGGCCTATATATGGGTTCAACAAAATTAACAGTCCGGTAGACCCTCTACACCTACACAACAACATATTTTACGTCCCTAATCTAACCTAATTCCAAAAACTCCTTGCATATTTGTGATCTGCATGTTATTCCGGTTAGTAGTACCCACATAACGTGGTTTGGTAAAAAAATGTTTTATGGTCTTTTTCGGGTTTATCGCAATTTTCCGCGGAAAAAGAACGTCATTTTCTGTATCAGCGTTGAATTTCGAGGAGAATGAAACAAATCCGGTCTAAATAGTATCTGTAATATATAGTTTTTGATAACTGTAATAAATCGTAATTGTAATATGAAAACTTGAAAGAGAATCACAAGAACAAAGAAATAATGTTTTATTGTTTTATTATTTAAAACCAAGAAGCTTTGTTTGATTGTTTGCATTGTGATAAAAACTATCGTTCAAACTCGTCAAACAAGTTGTTAAACAATTCTTTAATTGCATTCTCTTGATTACTTCGATTGCTCGACTCCAATTCAGGAACCTACCTGTTTTTATTCTGATAATGAGCATCTCGAAAAATAGATGTTATTATATAATATATAAAAATATATTCTAAATTGTCTCTGTTTTTTTTTTTTTTATAATTAATATAATTAAAAACCAAGTTTGCGATTCCTCATAATGAAATTTAATAATGTCATTGCCAAAAGTGTCTACATAAATCAGAATAATGCGATTTAGACATTGGTTTGCTTAAAAACCTTTGAATTGTATGTTTAACGAAGTTTTTTATACAATCTATGTAGGTTTGCATAGATTAGATCGACAAAAGTTATATTCTTTGGTAAATTATATGTAATATTTAATAAACTCTTTAGTTACAATAATCCTACTTTTGTACAATAGACAGTTTTGATACAATAGAAAATGAAGGGAGAGCATTGTAGTATTGTATTGTAGCGTAGTATGCATCACGCCACAACCCACAGTAGGTATCTCTAGGAATATTAGTTTAACCGTGGAATATATTTTCATGTTTCTCACTAGGCAATAACAATTTTGTAACAAACCTACATGTACTAATAGGCTAAACTAATTCCTTTTCAGTGTACAAGATTAAGTTAATCCTTGGCATATTTTGTACAGGCAGGTTCAACACTTTGATTGTTAAGGTAAGACATCTTTACCATAACCGTTTGCACTTCAAGGTGTTAATAGATATTTTCCTAATCCGTGAAATACACTTGCTTTCAAATTGAGGATCATATTCTCACCTGTGGTCTCTGAGATGGTCCTGACGACGGAACGCCTTGCCGCAGATGTCACACGAGTAAGGCCGCTCGTCCGTGTGAGTGCGCTCGTGGATCAGCAGGTTGTACGACTTGGTGAACTGTCTGTTGCAGAACTTGCAGATGAACTGCTTCTTGGGCCTAGACGCCCGGCCAGGGGGTCTCAGAAGTCTTCGATCGAGGTGCGAGTGTGGCCCCGAGGACGTAGGGAACACTGGGGGAGCCAGGGGGAACCCGGTGGAAGAGGCGCCCGGGGGGAACAGTCCGGGAGGGTACGGGGCTGGAGGTGGCGCACCGTGGGGCAGCAACATTGCCGCCGCCGCGTGAGCCGCCGCGACGCACGCCGCCTCCTCCCTCAACGCAAGCTCCTTCCTCTTGTCAGCCATCATCGCCATGAGCTCGTCCCCGGGCTGGTACAGGTGCAGCGCTCTGCTGGGCACCACCGGCACGAACGCCGAGTGATGGTAGGCGGAGGTCGCTGGTAGTGGACGAGGACGCTCCTCCCGCGGCGACGTCGCGGCGCTCCCGTTACTGGGCATCGCGGCGCCTGAAACAAAGAAACATAATTTAAAATATGTTGTTATTCTGTTATATATCAATTCATAGTCTTATGCTACGAAAAATTAAACTTAAAATATTTCTGAAAACAATAATAATCTATCGTGTTGAATCTGGCCTTGGATATCATTCGTCATAGTTCTGGGTGTCAATCAGTGTATGGGCGGGTAGCCGGTTTAGTCAGAAGAGCTAAGGACTATGAATCCAAGACAGCTATATCGTTCCCGATGCCGCAAATAATCTTTATAAGTACAGTTCATTCTAGTAGTAAATTGGCCCTCCCCTCGTTTTCGTTGATACTATGCTCGACGCCAGGCCCGAGCATATGCAGGATTCAGGCCGCCAGCCTCTTTAAAAAATCAATCATTGATACCATCTAACAAAAGGTTGGGTTTGGATAGAAAGCAGACCATAGATTGGACCGTCTCCTAAGAACGTAAAACATGCAGTAAACGTTTAACGTAAACGCTAAAAACACACCAAATTTAACTGACTGTTTCCTACAGTATTTTCTTAGACATTTCATCTGTGTCCTCATGTAAGCATTTCAGGATGCTGTATTATCAGACACATTTATTCCGTCTCTCTCAACAGGTAGCAGCCCCTGGGCGGAAACATGCTCAGCCTAAACACACGCAGGTGGCTGACGGGGGCAGTTTTTGCTACGCTAGACACCCAAATTTAAAGCCTTGTGGAATTAGGTAGCTCTTGTAGAGGTGCAAGGTGTAAGCCATAAAAATCTCTTGGGTGGCAGACTTCGTTAAAACTATTTTGAATGAAAACAAGATTGACAAATACTGAATATGGTAAATGGGGGGAGATAACTTGAAAGATGTGTACAAGTAAGTATAAAGTATAAGGATGGCTGGCGTTGATCCAAGTTGATTACAGTGAAATCAGCTGCAATCATATAACCAGAGGTGTCCCATTCAGCCGCTGCCTTATAGATCTTTCATTTGTCAAAATAATAGCTGAGATGTTTTTAGCAGCAATGCAGCAAAACCCCAACTTGATACAGCAATTCTTTTCTGCAGTTTTATTTTCCCACCAAAACCAAACATGTCTCTTTACCACTTTCTTCGTAGTTATAGATTATGAAGAAACACCATCTTAGATAAAACTAGCAGTTTTTATGAGAGGGGGTCTTGGATTCGCCATAACACTCCAGATTCAGCATTTATCATCCCAAGAGGAAAGCCTGATCCAACTGTTATCTTCTAGATCTTGAATTTCCATTTAAGATCCCAGCTTAATTTCCAAGTGGCCTTAGGTCTCCATTAACCACCACAAGAGCTGAGCATCATCAGCTGCCTTGTACATTTTAAATTTAATTTTGTTTAACTGTTATTTATCTAGCATTTGCTACCAAAACTTTATATTCACTTTAACATCTAATCATTGGCATTATCAACACGATGATTCTCTATCATGCAACAGCCACCTTTTGTAATGTATCTTGCTTTGTCCAAATCGGCTTGTCAATTCGGAATGACCAAAGGTAGAATTTTGCGCTATATCTGCTACACACATCCAGGTTGTCAATTAAATGTGATCAAGCCAATCCGACAAGCTGAATCGTCCATGTGTATTTGAAAGTTTGTTCAAATTTTGTGAGATTAAGAGATTCGAACTAATGGCATGACAGTATCGACAATGCAATGCTGCTTTTGAGTGGCACAATCCCGTGTCTTCCAATTTCAAGATACACAAAACTGCTAACAGTCGCAAACTTGGTGACTAATGCTGACATTACCGAGTTTGGGAGCGCGGCAGACCACATCCCGTGTAACTCTAGGAGCTAAGTTACAAGCTTACACCCCTGATACACGTCACGGTAGGGGCTTCCTTTACACTACTTCCGTCGAGCATGACCACTGCCGTGACGTACACATGTCACACGGACGCCACGCCGTTCTCGTCTGTACCGGTAGTCTGCTGTGAAGAGGTAGATTTGTGTCATAAAAATACCCCTACATAAGGGAGACGTACTCAAAAGAATGTTGTTAGCTCAGTTTTGGGGGTTAGAGAAATTTGGACCTCTCAGGCTAAAGGGGGTTTTCTGAAAACTAGTTGTAAACTGATAAGCGTATGCATTCTCCCCTTATACACAGTAGGCCTATATGGGAAAAAGTATTGTTTTCGTAAAAATGTTCGAGTTTGAGTTTTAGGTGGATATGTTTGTTTTGAGCCCAACTAAACCCAAAAAAGTGCATTTCGAAGTGATGTTTGTGTGTGAGTAAATTTGTCTAGGTGTGTTGGTGTGTGTGGATGTGTACAGAGCCACTGACCACACCTGTGTTACCCAATAAAAGTAATTAAATAACAGAAAATTTATTTTGTCAACGGCCCGACTAATACTCCATCTTTGCGATTGCAATGTGAGAAGACACAGTTTGAGAAAATTTGCTTCCTCAAATTTACGGTATGCTATAGTATTACACATCTACCATAGCCATAATGTTCTACCACTGTGAAGTACACAATAGAGAAAGATAGATTATTAAAATTTCGCAAAATATGACAAACTATTCATGAAATTAAAAACATAAACATAACTGTAAACAATCCTACTTTGACAGTTCTCATTGCGTATCACAGTTTTTTGTTGCTGCTTAGTTCAAATTAGCTGTTTTCATAAATAATGAAAAAATAACAGTGCTGCACCCTGTTGGTAAATCTTATACATTTATAATGCTTTTGCATATCACAGAACCAACTCTTTTAGTTGAAACAGCTGATCTAATTAATTCCACTAAAATAATAATTCATAGGACAATCGTACTTCATATCGTCATACTTCATAATCGTACGTCGTAATTCATTTGCTCCTTCTCGTTTGCAAACATCACATCAGGTTTTAAACGAGACTATATCATGGTTAATTTGATTCCTTTTTAATTTCCATTGTCCCCCCCAAAGTTGGTAGATCGTTATGATTGAGCGACACAGACCTGCGACAGTCATTGCTTAACAATTAGCATACAATAGTTAGCTGGTGCCTCTGTGTCAGTGCCACCAGCTAATGTGGCCACCTCCGAGTCCGCTGATTCTTTTAGATAACTTTGATCTAAGTAGCTTAAACATTGACTTGATACTGGGTGGACATCGCACCAAAGTGGCCAGCTCCAAGGTTACCGATTTTTGTTGGACAAATGTAATTGGATCAGGCAAATTAAGGTACCAAAAACATTACCTTTGAATAATGGAGTAGCCGTTGCACCAATGAGTGGTTTTAAGCGACTGGTTTCTGTCAAATTTTTTGACTGTTCAACCAAGAAAAACTTTAAGGACAACTTATTGTTAACTACAGAATCTCTAATTTAACATAAACTATAAAACGATCGAGCGGAATACCCGGTGAATAAGAACTAAGTTCACTATCGTTTAGCGTACTGGCTATCCCAGTTTAGTTTAAGCAATTCCATTGTTAAGTTGCTATTTAAGATTGTACACACAGGCAAAGGGAAAACTCGATATTAATAATATTTATTTACTGTACTTCTTTAAGAAACTACAAGGAGAAAGTAAATCTGAAATGAAGGTCCCCTGAATTATCTGTTTAGGATATTCTCTAAAAAATATTGTCAAACTGTAGGCTACATAATATGATTTTTCGTCATACTGCAGCAAAACAGCCGTTTAAATACTTTGCGGGTCTAAAGTAGTTCTTTTACTTCCTAGGGAGTAAAGAGCCTTTTTAGTCTCCAGTGTTTAAAGAGCCCTTTTAGTCCTTAGGGAGTAAAAGTCAGTTGTTGTAAACTTTGATTGGAAGCAATCATATGAAATGAAAGTATGTATGAATTTATTTTATCAATCAATTGTTCAATTGTTCTCAATATTACGACAAACTATAATAGTGTACACTAACACAATCGTAATAGACGAAATGATTGAATCGCTCACTAAACAGCTGCTTATTTTCATTAGCAATATTGGAAACAAGTTGGAAGTTTTTTTTTAAAGAGACGTTATCTTTACATAGAAAGTATATCTGTTTCGTACCTTATTTTATTATATAATGTTGCAATATGATGAAAAATATAGTTCATTACAAGGGGAAAAAGTGTCCTTTCAACCCTCGTTCATTTCGCGAACGAGGCTGTCGAAAGAGCCATTTTACTTTTCATTGTATCATTAATCTTGTATGGTTAAAGTAAGGCGCATTTTTTCATGTACCAACCTTTTCTTCAACTTGTGCAAAAATGTTGTACTGTACTACAGTACTTGTAGATGGTTAATAACAATAAATTTACACATAATCTTTGTGTTTCGTTGGTTTGCGATTAAATGACGCCAAAGACAAAAGTAACCTTTGGACCTTCATAGTGTTTGTCCAGTTGTACAAACAAAGAGTTTTCAGGAATTCAAATAGTGACTTGCAACTTCTGGTTTGTCTAACGCTAAAGCAAAAGCGCAAATCGTTTTAGCACAGATCACTTTGTAAACAGAGGCAAAGGCGGCTTCATTTGAAGTTGTTTTGCAAGTGTTGTCCAAAATATCTGAAACTCATTACTATCTTGCCAACTCATGAATACATAGGCTATCAACTATTTTAAATCAACTAGCCTATACTTTAATTATGTATGCTAAGCAATAAAGAATTTTTAATTTCAAATACATAATATATGTAAATAAATAAATCTATGTATACAGTAGGTATGTGCATTCGAACGGATGGTGTTTTTGACCTTTGGGGACATCAAAACGAAAAAGTAAATCGGTATCGGGTCTTGGTCTTGCCAAGAAACCTAAGGTCCTATGCTTATCCCCTATACGGGAAATTCGCTAAAAAACAAATATTTTTACAAAGTAAGTGCCATGTGGTGAGATAGCAATTAATTACTCTCTTGTGGTTTTCAACGAAGAGAAGGTTTGCATGGTCTGAAAAATCCATCTTAAAAAAATTAGATGGGTAAAAATACGATGGGAAAAAGCGATGGTTTTGAGCGGAAGAAATAAAGATGGTTTCAAACCACGGATTTAGGAATT